GAAACCCAAGGAGGGGTCGCTATGAGTCGGGGCCGACTCGACAGCAAATAACAACAACAACATCATAAGGTAAACTTCACAATGTCTGGCATTTAATAAAAAATTACCAGGCAAGCAAAGAAGCGGGAACTCGCGATACACAGTGAGGGGACACAGTAACCAACTGAAACCAACCCAGAAATGACACAGATGTAGCATTAGCAGACAAAGCCACTGGAGCAGCTTTATAACTACTCTGTAGGTTGAAAACGCCAGAGGAAAGATTGACCATGTTAAGTAGACACATAGAAGATACAAAAAATATCTGAAATAAAACTTCTAGAGAATAAACTACAGTGTGTGAGACAAAAAATACACCAGATGATATAAACAGTAGATTAGATACTACAGAAAAAAAATTAGCAGCAAAAAGTTGACAAACACACAAAGAAAAAGGACCAAAAACAGTACTGAAAGAGCATCAGAGAACTGGGGCCTCATACACACATAAATGGAGTTCCCAAAGTGGGGACAAAAATATTTGAAAAATGGAGGCCTCAGTTCTCTACTATTATAATGAAATGCACAAAGACCAGGAGTTAGAACACCAAAAGGGAAGAACACACTCAGCATTTCTCAAGCTGAAAGAACGGAAGAAAAAGTTCAAGCCTCAAGTTACAATACAGAAAGATTCTATGGGCAAGATCTTGAATGGTGAAGGAAGCATCAAAAGGAGGAGGAAGTGAAATACGACCATATGTGGGTCCTTGCCTGGTGCACGGTCAGGCCAAAACAGTTTACACACCGAATGACTAAGAGGAAAGAAAATTATTTATTGCAAAGCGGCAATGCAAAGAGACAAGGTTGTTTTTAACCAGATCTGACTCCCCGAATACAAATCAAATTACAGTTTTTTTAAGTTTCAGGAGAGAAGGTTATGCATATTCATAAAAGTTTCAGGAATTTGGGCATGAGATAGTTGCCGATTGGCGGAAATTTCCTTCACCTCGGTTTAAAGGGACAATTGTTATTTTAATGCAGTGGGCTTGCGCACCAGATGAGTCATACCAGCTTCCTGTCATCAGCTGATAGGGACTTAGGCAGAGGAGAGAATGTCAGTTCCCAGTAACTTCGGTCCTGCCTGCTTCAGTGCGCATGCGCACA